TCTTTTTTTTTTTTTTTTTTTTTTTTCCTTTTCAGGGCTCTTCTCAACAAAGCTAAAAGAAAGGAAATCAGGAGGCAGGAAAAGTTCTCCATTTGAGCCATGGGTATGACAGTGAGCAAGGTTGGTCTTCAAAATCATCATTAGTTTGGCATTAAGAAATCACTACCTAGCTGCTATTTTTATGGTGAGGGAGTGCTGCCTGGTAACAGAATAACTCCACACCACAGCTTGAAATTTCATTTAGTTTCAATGTGTGAGCTTTCATAAAGTCAGTTGCCATTTCATTTCTATGTTAACACTTCGTATTTTTATGAAATTCAAATAATTTGTGAGAAGATGGTATAGTTAATCTAAGGATTTATTATTTTATTCCAGTCCGTCAGTTCAATTGCAGTGCTTATACTTGGAATTTAGGATTTACATAAATATGGGACTGTTTGTCTTGATTAAAAGCACGCTTTGTCAGAGAAGCACCAACACAACACTAAAAAATGTTCCCCAAGGCTGCAGTAGCAAATTTTTTACTATTTCATGCGACTTATTGATAGAGGGCTCTGAGGAGCTAAAACTGTATATGCAATACTTATAAGATAAAAGCCATTTTAATAATCAGTATTTTCTTAAAGATTTGTTAGAAATAATGTCTTCTTTCTGGTAATCTTTCCTCCTTTTTGTATTTATAACTCTACTAATCAAATTATCTATCAATAAATAATTGCTATATTTTAAAACAATAAAACAAAAAACTATGATCAAATAAATTTGCTATGATTTTCTCTTGTTAACTGGTCTTTGTTATAGGAGAGTCATCTACGACCCTTACAATGAGGAGGAAAGCAAACACATCCTTTCTGCCCCTGCAGTTCTATTCTGAGCTGAGGGCAGAGGGGTTAATTCCATTAGGTGAGTTATCTCTGTCTCTGGTCACCTGTATTTGAATGTTGAATTACTCTAACATTAAACGTAAGTTGTAATTTATTTCATATGATATATAAGCACTCTAAGACATTCAATCATTTTGTTATCTGTATCCAAAACAAACATCTGGACATCTGGAGCCAATTCTCCTGTGAAATATGATCACAAATGTGTCTGAGGTCAATATTTGATCTATTGCTTTTTCATCTGAAACACACAGACGAACGAAATGACTATTAGCGTCACAACAAATTGCTGCTTTTCAGCCTCTCAAGCCGATTACTTTGTGTGAGAATATTGAAGAAGAAAGTGTAGAATAAACATCTGCTAAACTTATGCTGTGGGACTCAAATTTTAATGGTCATAAGAAAACTACTACAGAAATAATCACAAAACAAAACAAAATTTAAAGTAAAAGATTAAAATAATATAATAATATCTGAAAGAATATATTTATTTATTACCTGTATATTATTTTCCCAGAAGTGGACTGGATATTATTTAAAACACAAGAGAAAAGTCTATGACCTGAATTCTAACCTCAAGGTTTGTATTATTTTATTGTAAAGATAAGAAATAAGAAGATATCTAGGAATATAAAACAGCCGATTAAAAATGTGATCAGACATATTCAAGAACAATATATTCTAGACATAGAAAGAAAAAATAAATGGAAAGTAAGGATATCTGGAAGAAGACTTGATTTATGAAAAATGACTTGAGTGAGTATGTCTCAAAGAATATCCAGGATTTCTGGAGATGAAGCGAGGAAAGTACAGTCTAAGTGGAAGAAACAAAATGAACAGAGGTTCATAATGTATGCGTTCTTAGCAGTCTGATGAAGCATGTGGACTCCGCAGAAAGTTGTGGTTTTTAATAATTTTTTTAATTTGTATTTTTGTGAGTACATAGTAGGTGTTATAGTAGTGTATTTCTAGGTTATGTGGAGGCCTGATAGATAAGAAAGCAACAATATGAAAGGGGCTTCACGTTGGGGAGGGCTCCAAGTGGGGAAGAACAATGAACAATCTTTCGGACAGGTGGCTAATCTCATCATAAACAACGACCTCCTTGTCCTGTGGCCACAATGACCTCATTCCACAAGTAGCTCCCTCCAGCACCACCATATAAAATGTTCTTCCAGTCCCTGCCTCTTTGCAGACAGCCCTGTCTCTGCTGTGCTGCCTGTTGCAACCTTGCAATGTATTTTCATGCTTTCTCTAATAAATCTGCCTTTCTTTACCTACAACTGTCTTGGTAAATTCCTTTACCCCCTGTGTCAATGGCCCCAGTTAGGCACTACCTATGACAAGTTACATGAAATATTGTGATATAGGCATGCATTATATGATAATCACACAGGGTAAATATGGTACCCATCACCTCAAGCGTTTATCCTTGTGTTACAATCCAATTATACTCTTAGTTATTTTAAAATGTACAATTAAGTTATTTTTTACTATAGTCACCCTGTTGTGCTAGCAAATACTAGAAAGTTTTTAGAAGTGCAAAAACAGTAAGAATAAAGTTTTTTTAAAAGTATAGATGAGAAAACATTGAAATGCAGTTATTGAAATTAAGTAATGTTTGAATATAATAATAAATATATTTATTTACTTAAATATTTATTTTGATGTCATGAAATTCAAACTTCATTTGATAGAGTATTTTAGTTATTATTCTAATTCCTTTTTATCTCAGGAGAAGCTTAGGAGATATTTCCCCACAGAGAGGATTTTATTAGTATATTCAATAATAAGTTCCAGCAGTGGGTCCAAGGAGTCCCAGTATTGAATTAGTAGTGGGTTGCAAAGCCTGAACGTAAGTGATATTTTGAGATATGTGCAGCAACTATAATGGGATATAAATATGTCTATTAATTCTATCAGCAAATTCATAGTTGCTGCTAATGACTTCGGTGGTCTGTGGCATACATTCATAATGGAAAGAAATACTAACTTTCAGTTAGAAGCTAAAATAATGCTATAATATTTTCCCAAACAAAGTTTCTGAATCTCTTCAATTTTATCCATGGACTTCTAAGTTTCCTGTGGACTCAGACTAAGAATCTAGAGAAGTGGATGGAAAGCGATACTTCTTTAAACACCCTGTGGGTGTGTGGTACAGTAACAAGTCCTTCATACTATTCTTACAACATGGTAGAAGCAGGAAATGGTTGTAAATGGGCAATGTTACTTGAAAAATGAGAAAACTGAGGCTCAACAGTATTATGTAACCTGCCTAGGGTCACATACAGAATGAATATAAGTTATACAATTAGAGTTTGAATATCCTAATATCCTAATCTAGCCTTTCTTTGACTTTCCCACTGTGAAAAACTACCTAGAGAATCCGCAGAATGTTTTAAATAAGCAGTTAGAAGATAAACACAACCAGAGCAAGAAATTGTTTTCAAGAGCAGTAGAAATAACAACAGGGAATGTGGGGTAGGACCCCCTAAAAAAGCATACACAGAGAAACAAAGCAAATGCTTTTGCATATACAAAAACAAGCCCATCTGGGATACGATAATAAAATCAATGTTTCAGGAAAAAAATAATCTGATGGTAACAGTTCAATGGATTGCAAAGGTAAGGATTATTATATTATCTCTCCAGAAATTTTATAGTAGGTCTAAAATAATACATAATCGTTAAATGCTTTATCTAAAATGAGTTGAATCCTTTTATTAATTTTCTGAAGCAGTTTTGGGGTTTGGTTTTTTCAAGATCTATCCTTAAATATAGCAACACACACAAAATAGTTACTTACCAACACTTGTACAACTTTCACCATCTACATCCAGCTTCCAACCTTCATAACATGAGCACTTAACTGTGTGCTTGTGCTGCTCACACACTTGGCTGCACTTTAGATGGTTGCTACAGTAATCCACAATTTCACATGTTTTATTGTCTTTGTTGAGTTGAAGTCCTTCAGGGCAGGAACAGACAATTCCTCTTCCAGGAACAACAGAACAGTGGTTGCTACAGCCTCCATTGTTCAGCGAACATTCATCTAGAGGGACAGATTATAGGTCTTATCAATTGCTTTCCTCAGTAAAATACTAATCATTGAACTCAATTCTCTAAGCCTACAATTAGCCTACAAATGAAGATAAGAAAGACCTCTTTGGCTTATTTTTTCTTCAGGGATTGGTATAGAAATGATAGAATTCATCCAAAGGCCAAATTTAATTCTACATGATAGAAATTGTAAATGGAAGATTTTCATTTCTATAAAACTTGGGAGTATAGTTTGCTTTACCCCATGGATGTAAAGTGAGCTCAGTGTTTCTATCACAACTGGAAAGATTATGCTGAGCCTTTTAGCAGCTGTGCAAAATCATTTGTAGAGGTCTTCCAAAAAAGATGTATATACCATGATGATCTGAATATTAGACATATCTTGATGTTAATAAATTAACAAGTATATCCATATACACATATATGAATATATATACATAATGTCTATGTATCTTTTGCAACACTTGTACAGTCTATTTTGGAGTTATAATGTAGAACGGATTACTTTTTATCCTTTACTGGCTGTGGGCATTTATTTTTAAGTTATGTGAATTGTATATTGTGCCCCATATATTGGTTAGTAGGATTCATTTAATGACGCCATGGAGACATCATAAGCAAAACACTAAAAAGAAAAAAAAAGTTGTCCTGGTATTTTGGCTGAAATAATCAGCAATAGTATTGATTACACAGAAAATATGATTGATTATATAGATAATATGATTAGTTTGTAAAAAAGATTAGCTTTTTAAACAGCATTTAAATATACAGCTGTCCTTTAAATATATTTATTTATTATTCTACTTCATCACCAAATTGTAAGCTCCATGAGGGTACAGAAAATATCTCTTCTGTTTACCAGTGTATACCTAACATTGAGTAACGAGTTAAAAATATTTGATGAATTTTTTAAAGTAGAAAAATTGTATAAAAGCACACATTATCCTACATTTTAGTCAGAATTGTCTATTTGAGAAAATTTCAATATGACACTCTTATAACCTTGAAGAAAATGGCAGATAACTGTCTTTGAAACCACACCATTACCTACCACTGTGTACCATTAGGTACATAGTAATAAGGCTGAAAGAAGCTTTGTCTTTCTTGGCTTTAAAAATATTTTCAAGTGGATTTCAAACCGTATTTAATTGTGTATGTTTTGAGATATGCTAAAAAGACTATTGTCTAATAATTGGTAAATTGCAGTAATATTTATTTATATAATGCAAATATTTCTGATTGTCTATGAAAATGTATCTAGTACAAAAATTGGTCTGAAATGTAAGGCTTTTAAAAACATATCTACATTTTAAAAGCTCTGTATGAGTCAACTCTTCTTCATATAATGTCACCATCAATGAAGCTACAGTAATAAGAAAAGGAAAATGATTATATTAACTATTTTCTCTAGCAATTCAAGTTTCGTATTATTTTGAAGAAAAAAACAGGTTCAGCTCTTGGTTCCTCCAAATATGTTTCTCACCCATAATCAAAAGCATTTCAAAACAGCAGTCATTTCAAAGTATTTGCCCCATTTCAGTTCAATTGACATTCTTTTCCCAGAAAATAACTGTAAAGAAATGTCATTGTGCCCAGGAGGCTTAAAAAAAAAAAAAAAAAAAAAAAATTGTTACAATGCTTTTAGCTTATTTCAAATGTCACTGTTTTCTCAGTACCAAAGTGTCTCTTTCTATTACTATCTGTGGAATGAAGTCACAGATTTTAGGTTAAATGAAATTCACATTGAAATCTGAAATTGAATATATAAATTTAATGCCAATATTTGCATAATTAGAACCTGTTAATTCTTACTTAGCCCTAAACCTGTCATGAATCCTGCAACTTCTTCTAAATTTTTTTATTACCTGACAAAGACTTCTTGACCAAACACTAGTCAGGATCCTCTAAGTCCTCTTCTTGGCTAGACCTCAGCCTTGGCCAATAAAAACTGCAGACTCCCAGCACAAACGATTTCATCCTGCTGCCCTCACCTTCACCGCACCCCCCACCCCCATGCCCCTGGGCCAAAATACATACTGAGAGACTTGAACAATCACTAGCATATTGTCCAACAGTTTAAATGTATGTCCCTCGAATGACCCCAGCCCCCACATTAAATTGCCTGCCTGAGAAAGTTCATGATAATAGGCAAATATGTCCTGAACCTTCTCTTAGAGCAGTTGCTTTAGAAAGCTTTCAATTATAAATCCTTTCTGTGCCTTTTTGAGATGTAAATCTTCTACTACCCAGAACTGCCTTCTAAGGAGCTGAGAGCTTTCTTTTTGAAGTGCAAACACCTGAGAAGGTAACTCTGACTCTTATTCTCCCTCCCAGCCCAGTGGGTGTCTTACTCTCACTTGCTGCCTCTGCCTCTTGTCACAAAGATGAGAGAAGTCTGTTTTCCCCTCCAGTTAAGCACTAATTATCAAACCCAGGTGGCGTAATCTTGTGGAGCAGCCCCCTTAACCCCCTTAGTGCCTTTTCCTTAGCACACCCCAACCTTCAAAAAGTTTCCAGTTTTTAGTTTCATGAAGTTGAGCTCAGTTCACAGTGGACTCTCTATCACAAGAGTTACTAATGAATAAAATCTTTACTTACTGTTTTACTAGTTAGCATCTGGCTTTATCTTTGATATATTTTTATAACAAGAATCAATATAACTCCATTTTAGAGTAATTAAAGTCTATTTTCGTTTGTTTCTTAAGTGCAAATCCTTTTTCATTTGAAAGTATTTAAAAATTTCCCTAAAAAAAAAATAATCTGTTCACTAGAATTAGAAGATTTACATTCTTGGGTTCTCCTTTTCCTTATATACATTGCATATAACCATGGAAAAGGCAGTTTAATCTTTTGGCCAGTATTTGCTTTCTGTTTTCATTGTTCTAACTCTTCATGACTTCACCTCTGAAAGAGTGGGGTGTGTAGTTCAATATGACACAATGCTGCAATCATGATAAAATTGTCTTTTTACCTCCTCTGGTACTTCCACACCAGATTCCTCCTTATAATCTATTTCAGTCTCTATAATCTTTTGAAATGTTTGGGCAAAGCTCTTGAAGTAATGACTATATGGCTAGATAAGAAGTGGTTTTCAATTCTGAAGTAGACAAAGAAATGAATTAAGAGGAAATTCCCTCATTACTCTTTTACTTTCCTAATTTGGAAAGTGAAGAATAGGAAAATAAGGTTGAGTTTTTTTATCATTGTCTTCATTTTTCTCAATGGGTGTACTTTCTGTCTTTTGCCTTTTATTTCTTTAACTTGAAGGATGGGGAAAAGGTAGAAAAGTACTAATATTTTTCAATAACTGTAGGGCATCAGGCATTATTATCATGATTACCTGATAGATAACCATTGCCTCTATTTTAAGAAAATCAAGATTTTAAGAAATTAAGTCACCTACTCAAATGACTTAATTGAAGAAAAGAATTTAAGCTTGTTGAAGTCTAGTTTTTCCATAATTACATTATATTTTCTTTTAAGCGTATTGATAATTTCTTTTAGAATTGTATTTACAACCTTCATGAGCAAACCTCTCACCAACCACTACAAAGAATGAGCTGGGCAAGAAAGAAATGAATACAGAAAAATGAAGTTTGTCATCTTTTATTTATAAATTTTTTGCTCAATTTTAGTTTTAGTTTTAGTTTGTTTTTTTTTTTTCTTGGCTGAATTTTTTTGTATAATTTTAGCCTAATCGAATGAAGACTGTTGCATTCACTGTTTCAAGGTTATTTTATAAAATCATGACTTAAAAAAAGACATTTTCCCACACATGTTAAAAAATCATCCTTTTTTATATCATTCAGTATGCTATTAATGCTAATTTGAGGTCAAAATATAACTTTAGGCTTCAATGTAGTTGTCTTTCCTACTTTCAATCAGTCAGCTTCATTATTTCCTAAAGTCATTTCCTCACAGCCTCAAGTCATCTCATTATTGTTCTTATCATTCTGTAAACTGTTCTTCATTATCTATTGATGTCACCTTCAGTATTATCTAGAAAACACTTTAAAAAAAAATCCCTTTACTAAATCTCTGATCTCCCGAAAGAGAAGGAAATGTAATTTTCTTTTGTATGTGCTGGTTGGTAAGAAAGATTGCTAGTCAACGTGATTTCAAAGCTCATTGAAATCATTTTAACTAGATAAGGCATACTAAAGAAAGCTGTTGTATGAAGACTAAAAACTTGCAGGAAAATTATATTAAATTGGGTAATATTCAATTGGTTTTATTACCCAGTCTCTTCCCCTTCCTAAAAATCAGTTTCTATTGTAATGATTAGAAGGCTTATCAAAATATGTAGGGTGGTGGTGAGCTCTATCCCACAGATGAGGAATAACAAGTTTTCCTTGTTCTGAGTGACTCACTTAACAAATAATAAGTTCAACTAGGGGAACATCATTGGCCATCCAGAGATCTAAATGATGAATACAGCTCTTCAATTAAGTGACCTCAATATAGGCTAGCTTTTCCTGTCTTATTTTCAGAAATTTCTGATCACATTTAAGACTTTTACTGTAGCTTTAGAGTGTCTGAAAAATGTAGATAAGGTTCAGTGCTAAAAGCTACATTTAAAGGGAATGAAAGGA